AGAGAGAGAGAGAGAGAGAGAGAGAGAGAGAGAGAGAGAGACAGAGAGAGAGAGAGAGAGAGAGAGAGAGAGAGAGAGAGAGAGAGAGACAGAGAGAGAGAGAGAGAGAGAGAGAGAGAGACAGACAGAGACAGACAGACAGAGACAGACAGACAGACAGACAGACATTTTGCCGGGGCTGCTGGCGCTCCTGATAAAGGGAATATTTATTTATCTACGGAGGGATCTGCTGTGTTTGGGAGCCAGCTCATAACAACAAGGTAGAACTATTTTGGTCTTAGCTGCTTTGTAAATGTGAAGTTACGGACAGAGGCAGACCCTGGAATTTCCGTTGAGGAATGCTGACAGACCAGGCTGCAATGGAGCAATCGGAAGAGAACATTCTGCAAAGATTCAGATCTTCCAATGATTTACCTTTCTGGAAAGTGACCTCCAACTTGCAGAGATACGGAGGGAGTTCCTTTTAAAAGAAGAAAATGTCAGCTTAAATACAGAGAGGTTCAGAGACCGAAAACCGGAATAACCTTAATCCAAGGCTGCTTTGCTTTCATCACCCCCAGCATTCACAAGAAACCTCTCTAGTCTAGTGCATAGACAGGCAATCCTTGGCATTTGACCACAAATGGGATAGGAACTTCTGTCGCCAAGCGAGGGGCGTTGTTAAGAGAGTCATACCAATCTTATGACTTTTCCCCCCTGTGGCTGTTAAGTGAATCACACGATCCTTGTTTACATGAGCCTGGCTTAGCCCATCGACGTTTCTTGTTGGAAGCCAGCCCTGGAGGTCGCAAAACATGATCATGTGACATCTCCCCCCCCCCTCCGGACATTGCAACTGTCACAAATACCATCCAGTTCAGGGGTCAGCAACCTGCGGCTCTGGAGCCGCATGTGGCTCTTTCATCCATCTGCTGTGGCTCCCTTTTCCACAATTGATAGGGCTTTCGATTAGGACAGGTAGAGGAAAAAGGACGCTGCGCTAGGAGGAGACTCTATGGTGGGAGAACTGGACTTTCGGTCAGCAGAGGAAAAAGGACGCCGCTCTAGAAGGAGACTCTATGGTGGGGGGAACCATAGAGTCGGCTCCAGAATTGAATGGGGGGCTTCCGATTAGGACCTTTGTGGCTCTTTGCGTGTTTAAGTTTGCCAACCCCTGATCCAGTTTTTCAGTGCTGTTGTAAGTTTGAACGGTCACTAAACGAACTGTTGTTAAGGCGAACATCACCTGTACATAGCAGCAGCCAAGCTTCCAAATTTTGAACACATGACCGCGAGGATGCTGGCTGGGTTTTTTTGCCACATACTTTTTTTTTAACCACAGTTGTTAAGTGAATCACTGCAATTGTTAAGTTAGGAACATGGTTGTTCAGTCAATCTGGCTTCTCTACTGTTTTGGCTTGCCGGAAGGTCACAAAAGGGGATCACGTGACCCCGGGACACTGCGATGGTAATAACTATGAGCCAGTTGCAAAGTGCCCGAATTTTGATCATGTGACTAGGGGGAGGCTAGAATAGTGGTAAGTGTGAAAACTAGCCATTAATCAGTTTTTTCAGTGCCGTTGTAACTTCGATCATCAAGAACTAGCTGAAATTCTGTTCAAATTCATTACCTATTAATTGTAATCCTGAATTGATTCATCCTGCTTCGAATAGAATAGAAATTAGAATAGAATAGAATAGGAATTAGAATAGGAAATTAGAATAGGAAATTAGAATAGAATAGAATAGAACAGGAATTAGAATAGGAAATTAGAATAGGAAATTAGAATAGGAATCAGAATTGAATAGAATAGAACAGGAATTAGAATAGGAAATTAGAATAGGAAATTAGAATAGG